CAAAATTATAAACGTACCGCAATTTGACAGGCTTTAACAATTCATTTTTTTGCTATATAATATATAATATATTTTTGCTAATAATATGGATTAATCCAAGCCGCAAACTTTGTGCAATATTTAAGCAAAAAATTCGTCAAACTTTTGTTATAATTTCAAGCTCAGGTTTTTAGAAGGGTTTAAGTGCATTCGATTTTGTTTGAAGTAGCTGGAACTTACCGTTGATTTTTACCAATATTTTTTTTAAGGTGTTGCCCATTATGTTCCATATAAAAAAAGTTACTCTTTTTCATTGAAGAAACTATATTTTTGTAAAAAAAAAGTAATTAAAATTAAATAACAAAAAAATAATATTGTGTAACTTGTCGATATGTGGTGCGCTTATAATTTTGACACGAGGTGTATGTATGTAAATGTCTATGGAGGTATAAATATGCAACCATACTGGTTGCCTAATGAGTAAACGATCATTGCAATGACAGATTTAGCAAATATTTTGGCATTTTGCAGAAAACCCACACAAAGGCATACCTAAAAAGTACATGCATATGTAGTTTAAGGCTGGCCAAACCACACGTGCAGATGCATACTGGCATATCTACATATATATGTACTTATAAGTGGTTCAAAATTATACAGCCATATTAAATAAAGTGACAACGCCATATTAAATAAAATTTTGTGGAAGCATCTATAAATATTTTAATTGGACATTTTAAATTTAAAATACTAAGTTACACAAATTCGTACTTAATATTTATTTTACTTTTGGGATGTAATAGAATTATTTTTTATTTTACTTGTGGCAAACACAAAATCTGGCTTTGAAGTTTTGTGAAATGTTCACCATTGAAGGTAGGCTATAATATAAATAAATGCCTATATCGGTATACTATATACATAAACATTTACACATACAAACAAATTTACATACACATGCCTACATCTATTCGCTATGTTATGTCATGCACTTTTCATTGCAATTCCCCAAAGCTGCTGTGCTCTAAATGGTTTCTGCAGCATTTTGAGCAATGGCGGGGAGCAGCAGAGTTAGGTCAGTGTAAGGCCAGCTGCAAAGCGACACACAAATTGTGTGGCCCCAAAACTCAGCAGCATCGATTGCTTTATTTATTTTTGTCTTTTGGTTTCTCATCTTTTATACTATATTATGTCATTTTATTTTTTGTTGTCTGAAGCGGCCTTTGGTGCCATTTTATCAGTCGCTAGTGTGAGTTTTTCAACTCTTTTTTTTTGGGAATATTTTGTTTATGGCTCGGCTATTTTTGCTTGCCATGTACGTACCTTAATTAATCTATTTGATGAGGAGAAAAAAGGAAAAATCGGTAAAAATGTAAAAAAGGATATTCTGTAATTAAAAGTGTGTGCATTCCGAATATCTACTGGATGTGGGAGCGATAATTTTTCGTAAATTGGAATGGGAAATGGAAGGAGAAAGGGAACTACATACACGGGTTTTTTCTTTACTAATTAAAATGTGTTTTTCTTATTTGCATACCCGTAGTGCAAGTATTAAATCATTCCTTCTTTGGTTAGTATATGTTTATACTAAGGTATTTCAGCAGAGAAAATGAATCCTTTTAAATCTATTTACGTATGTAGATAAAATTGTAATCCTCTTTAAAGTAGCATAGAAGTTTCTGTTGCGTAAACTTATTTCAAGATAATGATTTAAGGGAATTTACGGCTAAAGGAAATGCCTTTGATTTCAAATATTCATTCTAGAGCTATGTATTTTACTCTGTGAAAGCTCTACAGCTAGGCGGAAAATTATTACATACTTTCCCCTCACTAACTTCAAAACAACTCCGTACTTCAATTCCTTTAATAAAAATGCTTATTAAACTTCGGGCATTTTGGACCCATGAAGCTATGTGGGTGGGAGCAATGCGTTTTCCGTGTATGTGATCTGGTCAGCAGCGATCGTTGGATTGTCAAAAATGAGGTGTCAAATTAATGCGCTTGGCTTTCGGATGTGCGGTAAGGATTTATTTTTTGAAAAGGATTGCCACCATTTAAAAAATTAAATTAAAATTATTTGATAAGTGAAATAGATTATTACAATATTTCTAAACTTTATGTAAGTTGCCATCTGTTTTAAAATCGAGTTCAACATGAATTAAGGGAATTAGGTTATTGAAATATGTATCACAATATGGTTGTCAGGCGAAAGTTGTTTTTAAAAGTTTTTTTTAATATTTTGAAGAGAGTTGCCACCTATTTGAGAAAAAAACTGCAGTTAAAAAAAAAATTATACACAATATTAAAATACGGCTGTCAAAAGTAAGTGAGTTAAGACAGATTTAGTCTGAACATTTTAAATATGCATGAGGTGTTTAAAGTGAGTTGCCACCTGTTTAAAAAATTTAATTTCAATTATTTAATAAGTTAAATGAATTGTTAATGATGGATATCAATGGAAGTAAGTTTGAAAAGGCTTTATTTCTAAACTATATGTAGAAGGGTTGCCACCTGCCATTTATTTCAAATATGTCTCACAATCTCAAACGAAAGAGTTTTTAGAAGTTTTGATGTTGAAAATACTTTTGAAGTGGCTTGCAACCTATTTGAAAAGTCAAATTTAGTTCAATTATATACATGTTTTTTTAAGACTTTTGAACAGAGTTTGACACCTGTTTTAAAAATTAAATTCGAATTAATTCATAAGGTTATGGAAGTAGATACATAAGTATCACAATATAGGTGTCAAAAGAAAGAGGTTCAGTTTGGATATATTTTCGAAGAGAGGGCAAGTTTGAAAAGTCGAAAATAAATAATATTACAGAAGTTATCCGAAATATTTCCATATTGCTGACTAGAAAAAATTGTTTTAAAAAAACTTTAGTTTAAAGGTATTCTTGGTTAGGGTCGACATCCACTAAATATTGAATTGGTTTGATGCAAGAACAATTTTTGTAATTTTTTAACTTCCCCTATTATGTGCATCACTGATTTAGTTTTTTAACGGCATACGGGTTTACTAATTTTTCATACATTCCAACCACACCCAATGGTGCTTTAAACATTTGAAACTTGAAGTCATGAAAAAAATGGGGTGAGCTAAAACTTCTTTGGGCTTTCGTTTCAATATGCGAAATTTATTTCTTTAGTCTGCACTTACATTTTATGCGCACTCAAAGTTATGAAAAACATATTGCATAATTTTTTTATTTTTTTTTCTTTGAAAAATGTTTACTTTCTACCCAAATCACGCTGCCATTCAGAAGTGCTTATGTATTTATGCAATTAAGTGCTTAGCAAACTTACTTTGATTCGCAAATCCACTATGGCAAGTTATAAAAATGTGCAATAAACTGTTTTGCAACATAGTACATAAATTACATTTTCTCATTTCCCTGTAATTTCCCTGCTGTGTGCCAGCAGCCAACAACTTTGTGCGGAGAAAAAGAGCGTAAGAAATAAAAAAGAATTAGAAATAAATAGTCGCAGTAGCAAGCGCATAGAAAACACACACAACGGCAACCAACCTAAACTCTGCTAAGCTTAAAGTGGAATTAAAAGCGGCAAGCAGAATGCTTTGAAAGTCATACATACTAAGCCAAGCACTTCTCTTGCAGGAGAGCGAGCGTTGAACAAAGGAAAGAAAAACCGTAAAAGAGCAAATAAGCAAAGTTCAAGCGAAAGTTCAACTGTTATGCAATAAGAAATTTTAGTATAAAAAAAAACCGGAAACCAAAAACAAAAAATGCAAACAAAGCGATAAACAAGAAAACAAGTGAAACTGCCTTAAAATGTGCAACAAACTTTTAGTTATTTAATGCTTACTAAGTAATCGTCATAGTTTAAGTACATATTCTATTAAAGTACAACAACAATGAGTGGCGTTGGAAAAAATGCCAGTTTTAATTACTTAGCCAAAAGGGGTCTAATATTTCAAATTTAACAAATGAAAGTGATAAATAAATAAATAAAAATTATTAGCAGAAAAGTTTCAAAGCACGCAAATCATTTCTATAAAAAGTGAAACCATAATATTAGCAAATAAATTTTTTAGTGAAAACGGTACAAAAAAAACTAAAAATAATAACTAAATAGAGAGGAACAAAAACTTTCATATTTCAGCTAAACATAATTTGAAGAAAGTGAAATCAAACGTAGACAAATAAAATTTATTTAAGCAAAAGCTCACAGAGTAACTAATAATTGATTTACAAAATAGCCAAGCTTTTAATAAAGAAATTTAAAAAAAAAAACGAAAGAAAATTAAGCAAGCCTGCGTTGGAGTGCAGTTTAACTACGTATTTTCCACTACTAACACAATATTTATAATACTCTTAAAACAAACACAATCAATATTTGCTCAATTAAACATAGGAATAAATAAACACAACAACAAGTAGGCATAAAATAATCGAACACTAAAATAAGCCACAAAAATATGTATTTAATTTATTTTAATGAAAGCACGCAAGAGTTTTACAAAAAAAAAGCTGAGTAATAAAAATATTTATTTGAAAAAAACAAAAAATATTAAATAAATATGAACAATGAGTTGAGCTGCAAACAATTTTCAATGAGTTCAATTAGCGGTAAAAAACTTTTTCAAGCATAATAATTTGTATGGAAAGCAATGCAAATCAAATGACAGAATCAGACAATAGCGCGAAAGCAGTGCAATAAATTTGACAAAAAAAAATGGCAATAACGTCAGTGAAGTATGTATTTAAAAATCTGAATACAAGCGCGTCTATGTACTTTAAAAGCACTAAATTAAATAAATAACAAACATACACTGCACGCTAAAATGGAAGCAGTGGTATTAAATTATTTTGAATAAAAATTAAAAAAAAAAAACATTTTTTAATCTTAAAAAAAAAACACATTATGGATGCAAAAAAATTTTAGCAATAAAAAAGCGCTTGCACAATTTCTTTGGTTGAAGTAACTAGATAACAAAGTAATATGATAACTAAAAAGTAGGAGAAATAAAAATTAAGAAATAAAACATTTAAAAAAATCCTAATTTTGTATATTAAAAACAAAATTCAAAGCAATACTTATCGGTTGGAGCAACATTTTTATTATTCCACAAAGAAAGCGCGTGAAAGCTATAATAAACGTGAAAATTAAAAAACGTCAAACGAAAATTCACAAAACAATTGTTTGGCTGTCCAATTTACACGACAGCACTTTTTACACAGCGCGCGCTTCACTCTACATACCACACCACCCTATCGTTAAGCACAACAACGCGGCCAGCCATTCGCCAAAAGTACGCACGCAACCGCCAATAACCATGCAAATTTTATGGCCTGTCAGTTTGCGTAAACAAACGCCGAAGTAAAAACACAGCAGCAACTAATAAAGAAAAAATAAAACCACGAAAACCTAGAAAAATTTTTAAATCCAATTTTCTGACAACTATAAACAATACAATAATAAAGGTTACAAATACAACCACACAACAACAGCAGCAAGAAAAAATACAACATAAGATAAAAACCACAGCAATCATAAACAAAAAAATTCCATTCTTCATTTGCGGCATTTCCGTAAAATGCCAATAGCCACCAAAACCGCCACAAAGCAGTATTCACAATTGCAGCAACAACAACAAAATCATACCGCCAACACCATGACCGCATCTGATGACAACAACTCAACAACAACGCATGCGAGCAGCAACCACAGCACGAACACAACCACAGCAACAGCAACAGCAACAACAGCTAATAATCCACATGCGCACGCCGCCACCGCCGCCGTCAATCTCAACAACAGCAGCGCTGCCAATTTTAGTGGCGGCATCTTATCGTTTCCGCCACTACAACCGCCACCACCTCCACCGCCCGCTTTAAGCAGCGGCAATCTGAGCATACTGAATGGTAGCATTGGCATTGCCAGCGCTCATGCTCATCCGTCGTCGCACACGTACGGCCATGCACCGAGCGCTGTCATGACCAGTGCCACCGCTGCCGCTTTCGCCGCGCACGCCAACATCAACGCTGCCATGAGCAGCAGCAGCAGCACCGCCGCCAACAACTATAATATGCCGACGTACGCTAATATAACAGTAATACCCTCGAATGTCGGCGCCGCCGTCTCCAACGTCCAGGCAGTAAATGCTGCCAACGCCAATGCGCCCATCGCCGTTTTTATGGGCAGCGGGCTGGCAGGTGGTGCAGCAACAGCAACGAGTGCTGGTAGAAGTGGTGGCGGTGCAATTGGTGTGGGGGGCAATACCAATGACAACAACAACAATATGGATAATACAAGCGAAGAATCGAATGCAGTGACAATTTACAGGTAAACGGTGAGGGGCACGTACGCAAGCGCACATGCACACACTGTATTGCTGTATTGCAAGGCAATACATTCGTAAATGCGTAAAAGCCACAGTTATTTCAGGCAACAAATTATTTTCATTGTTGCCCGCAATTCAATTGTGTTACACATGTGACGACGTCGTTAAAGTCGTTGCTTAACCAGTTCAATGCAATTTGAAAAGTTATCTCTTTCTTATCTCTCAATATCCTTTCGGTAGTATTGCTTGCTGAAGCAATCGATTAATTGCAGTCGTGCATACCAAATGCTATAGCTTGAGACAATTTTAATGGTTTCACATTTGTATTCATTCACTTCAAATCGTGAAAGGATCAGTGTAAGCAAATGGTTGTGTGTTGCGTCGTCCCTGCAGGAAAATTTGAAAACATGAAATGGTGAGGTTGAGCTTGACATTTTCCACTGGAATTTGAATTTGGTCTTATTGTTCATTTCCACCAAGTCCTTAACTGCAGTTTATGCCTATTGCAACAAGGAGATTATAACTCAAATGGAAAAGCAAAAACTAAGAAACAAACCTTGCCGCTCACCAGATGTTGAAATTCTTGGAACTTATCTGAGCTCTTAACTGCAGTTAAGCCTCTGGTGAAAATAGGCTATTAGGCTTCCTCTCTGCACCTAATACCCCTCTAAAGAGTGTCGAAACAAGAACTGATACAGCTGAGGTCAAAATCAAGAGCGATAAGATAGAATTTATTAAATCTATTTCTACAAAAACAAGTGCGAAAATTCAGGTTAACTATGCTGGAGAAGAGCCAGCTAGAGAGAGCGTTAACTTTGTGCCCAATACCTTGTTAGGCTGATGAGAAAACTACATTGACTTCGACGGTTTGGAATCGCATTTCATTTCCAGCCGGGATGGTGCCTGTGCAAAAAAAAGATTGAATTTTCTGACACTGCGTAATAGTCTAGACTCTAGAGGTTAGACATTTTTCTTTAACTTCTTCTTCCTAAGTGCCAGTCGTTCCTCCTTCTAGCTAGCCGGTAGTGATGTGCGGTTCCGAGTATTTAAATAACTAGTTCTGTCGAGTCCGGTTCCAAGAAGAACCAGGTATTTAGACTGTGTAACGTTTCCATTAAAAAACATAATTTTTTTCGTTGTTGTCGCTGCTCTTTTGACGCAATCAAATTACAGCTTACAGCAATTTGAAAGCATCAAAGATGAGCAAGCAAATTAGTAGCATAACATTAAATTCAAAGCAAAAAATATTTTAGGTAAACTAAAAACTCCATATTATGTAAAGAAAACCGAATTTTATGTCGATAGCATCACAACACAATGGAGTTAATGTACGTTAGCCACATCGGGTATATGGCGGCTGTGTGATATAGTGCCTTGAACCGAACAAAATTTGGTACATCATCTCAGAACTCTTTAGTACATATCTAAACCGAATTTCAGGCTGATTTCTTCATATTTAGACTTTATGCCAAGACAATAAATTTTTTGCTCATAGTGCAATGTGCGCTTCGTGGCCGATTTTCGCTTCTTGTTTCGTTATTCTCAGATCGTTTTCCGGGTCCGGTTTTGTTTCCATTATAATCGTTTTTCAGTTCTTGTATGGATCGGACCGGTCGGTTCCCTAAAGGATCCGCTTATTCGGTTCCGGTTGCTCGGATCTGTACATCACTACTAGCTGTCGCCACTTAGAAACACTCAGTGAAGCTAAATCCCTCCCCACCTGACCTGTTGAACGCAGAGGAGACCTTTGTCATTCTCAGAGCCACCACCAGGGGGTACCGCATCCAATAATTTGAGTGCTGAAGCATTTTCATCCTTTCGTAAGGCATGGTCTAGCCAGCGTAGCCCATCTACTTTGATTCGCTTTACTATGTCAATGACGCTGAAAAGCTCATACAGCCTACAGTTTTATCATATCCTCGTATTCGCCGTCACAAATGCGAAAGGGGCCATATATATTCTAAAGAATTTCTCCCTCGATCAATACAAGAGCCACCTCATTAGACGATACCATCGCCCACGCTTCTGCCTGCGGCATCAGGATGCATATGATGAGAAACTTATAAAGTGTCATTTTCGTTCATCGAGAGAGGACTATGCTACTCAGTTGTCTACTGAGTCCAAAGTGGCAATTTTTGGCAAGAAATATTCTCAATTCGTTTCGTATTCATTCTCGGTGTTTAGATGGTGTGTGTCCCATGATTTGGCGTATGGTGAAATCCTGGTCTACGGCGGATTTTCTAAGTCTAAAGCAGCATTTATAAGGTCGAACCAGTTCGTTGACGGTGGGCTTAAATCTTTCACACAAAGCCTCGGGACTTGGCTTGGGCGGTGACGAATTTCGTTTTGATGCGCCACAAATCCGAATTCGCGCTTCTTTGCAAGAAATCTTTAATAAACTTTGCATGGACGTAAGTAGTATGTTTTTTGCCATGGGCATCAACCAACTTTTTCCTTGGATGATATTGATGTCAGCCTTAGTCTTCTTGAGGACATTAGGTGGCCGGACGGGGGCACCTTCCCCTTTAAGGATCCCTCTTGAGAAACTTATCACTCATGCAGACGATTTCATAGTGCACCCCTTAGGTTTTCGTGTGGCTTATTTTAAGTCACGCCTATTACACGGTGCAACAATTTCAAGGCCATTGTCTGGGGCGGAATGATACCGCCTCAGGATGAAAGACCTAGACCGGTATATAAAACCTCCAAATCTTTTGGCATTTATGTAATATTAAGTATGCAATTTTTTGTCTGAATAAGTGGAAAAAGGGTTAAAATTCGTATTGGAGAAAAAGATGTAGAATGGGAGCATATATAAAATCTCACGAGGAATAATTTTGTAGAATATTTTCACCCATTAACTCTCTCAAAAAATGGTAATTTTGAGGCCTTTTTGGAGCGTTTGAATAAAATGGCATTGGTTTGGTCGCTAGAGGGTTAAATCTTTCTACAAAGAACGTAAAAGTCCGCATCGGACATCATGTGTTACTCAGATTCGATGATAGCGATGGTTGCAGTACTCATGAGCCAAGCTTCGAACGATCACCATTGAAAAGAACTATAGTTATATTAATGAACAAAATATAAAATATATTTCAACAGGACATACATTTGTGTTTTTTTCTGTGGATTTTTACGTATAAATATTTTGCCTTAAAGTACTCCTAGAGAAATTTTCCGGTGAACAAACAAGTTATAGAACATTTTAATCCTCTAGCGACCTCACAAATGACAGTTTTCCAGACTTTCCAAAAAAAAATGGGACAAAACGACGCTTTCGTGATAGAGCTAATTATAATTGTGAAATTTTACTATTTGTACCTAAACTACATAAGTAGTTAGCCTCGATATAAATTTTAACCTCTTTTCCACTTAATCTAAAAATAATGATCCAAAAAATTGCAAACTTAACATGGCCGTAAACAAATTAGGTATGTGAATCCAAAAAGATTTGGAGATTTTACTTCATCGATCCAGGTCTTTCAGCCAAAGTTGGAATCATTCCTGGCGCACAAAACGCTGTTGAACTGTGTTATCTATTTAAATGCAATAGTGGGATGCAGATAGGGCTGCCAACATTTTCTAAGATATTTATAGTATTTTTCAAAAATATTTTAAAAATATAGTACCCATCAAATATATATAGTATTTTATTTAAAAGAAAAAGTAAAAACGATTTTTAGGTAAAAGTTTAAACAGACGGCAACGTTGATCCGGATTAACTCGGACTTAAACCGGATCAACTCAGTTAATTCCCGAGTTGATCCGGATGAACGCTGCCGTCTGTTTATGTTTTAATGGAAAAAGTTCTTCCTGTGAATTTCGAAGTTGCTGGAATAGAGAGTAGAAAAGAAATAAGTTTAAGTAAATTTATTTATTTATTTATTTAGTTAATTATTTCTTAGTCTTTTGAAAATATGTTGCCTTTTTTTGATTATAAACTCACTATGACCTTTTACTTTAAAGAATATTTCATTTAATATTGTTATTTCAGTATAAAGGTCATCCATTTTAATACACACTTTTTCTTCCAACTTACTGAAATATATCTATGTATATTTAAAGCTGAAGAAATATAGTATTTTCGCTTCCTATAATTTGTTCCAACAGTATATAGTATTCCGATCGGAAAAGTAGTACAATACTATATATTATAATGTGGATGGCAACCCTAGATGCAGATACAATTTTGTACCCGTGGGTGTTATGTTCGTTTAAACACGATCTACTGCTATAAATACTACATATATATATATATATATATATATATATATTGCTCTCATAATAACCCTTTACAGTGTTATGACACTTTTAAATTAAATAAAAAACGCTATTTCGAAATATAAAACTTAAGCAAAATCAAACATTGGCAAATTACAATATATGTATGTTGGATCCACAAGGTTGCCACCAACGCTTGTAAACTTACCAACGTTTATTGGCACGCATTTCTACGGCCAGCGACCAAGCTTCCTGTGACAAAAATTTAAAATGTAAATTAAAATGATGCCGCCAATGCCAACGCGGTTACAATTATTGGCGTTTTAACTACTTTTGCTGGCAACAGCAAAAATTTGCCTACAGATTATCATGGGCCTGTTACACATACAAGCGGTCTGACCGTGTAGAGGCATGTAGGAGCGAATGGAGGCACACCTATGTATGTACATAGGTGTTGCGATGTGTACATCCCATAGATCGCCACCACTAATGAAGTTGTAGCAGGCGAGCGACATTGAGGGTTACATTAAGCACTTGCCATTGTAGTGCGATTTAAGCATTATGACAACAAAAACAATAATAGTTGACTGCAACTTAAAATGGGCGGAAGCTTTATTACAAAAACAATATCAGATATGTCTAGTGTGCTGTATATGTACAGGTGTATGTGTGCATGTGCGCAATTAAAACAAGTGCAATTGCCAACGTAACTGTAATTACTTTTAATACTCGAAATCCAGTCAGTACTCGTAGAAGTAAACTGCTTTGCAGAAAATAATTT